CCCTAAGCATCCCATTCTTTCTCATTCTTTCGCAAACAAATTCTCTCCCCTGTAATTGTTTTTGTAAAGCTTTTTCAAGCACTTTTGTACCATTTTCTCTCTATATAGTAAAAATCTAAATATTACAAGGTGAATCACTATAAATTCTTATGTTTTTTTTTCCGCACTTTATTTATTAGTTTATATGCTAGATCAATATAAGGCAAACACAAACAGAGTAACATTTAGAAACTGCCTAATTGGACACTAATACAAATTGATTGTAATGTTTATCCTCCACAATTCCCATGCAAATGAAAATAGTTTTTAAACCCTTCTATTTGTTACTTCAGCCGGGGTAAAGAAGGAGAAAAATTAAACCATATATTTAAATGAAGTCATTGTTAGGTAGCAATGTTGGATTAACATAAAAAAATGGAAAAAAAAGGTACAGCATGATATAACATATAAGAAGTATACAATGAAAGCAGGATTAACTTAATATCAATATTCATTCATAAACAGGAGTCAAATTCTAAAACAATTCTAATTCAGAGAAGCAAATCTAATTGCTAATATTTAAAATAATCCTAACATATAAAAATAGCCATACATTGATGTAAAAGATAAATAAAACTTTAAATTCAAACTATTCAAATAACTATAATCCTATTATGCATTATCATTTTGGGGTTGAAAAAACTCAATGCCAAGAGTTTAAAATCTTCCACCACCGCACGTGATACTAAAATTAAAAAATTGCTATTTCTGTCAACATATTCTTGAGACAAAAAATCTTCAATCACGATACTTAAATTCTTTTCTATAAATAAATTGTTTAAGTAAGAGTTTGTACTTGAGAAGAGTCATATCAGACGTCTCCGTAGAAACTTTGTACAGATAGAGAACTTCCTGCACGAGTCTTGGTATTTGAAATTTCATGGTCTTTTTTGACTCACTACAAATTTAATGGGTACATTTATAGTAAGTATTCAATACTTCTATATTATTAAGATCATGCTGAGTAAAGAAAATAACAAATTTTTTTGATGATTGCATGTGAAAGACTTCTTAAATGGGTCCATGCAAACTTCATTCAATAGTTAATCTACATCTACTCTGCTTTTGTTCTTAACACCGAATATTGACCTATGAGGTGATTGAGAGGGCTTTGAGGAAAAGTATGAACATCCGAGAATATTTAATTTCATATATGAGAAATTTCAAAGATTATACATAAATTAAAGAATGGAAGTATATCTTATCAGTTTCATTTTTTTATTCTAAATTTAATATGTAAGTATATGTGCGTAGAATAAGAGTCTAAGTTACTTTTAATTATTTTCTTGTGATGATTTTCATTATATTCAATTATCGTGTTCCCCTAATCGGGTGACCTAGAACAATTTGTTAAGAACAATTTGTTTTGTAAACCTTTTATACGAACGTTCCTCTTCTGGAAATCTTATGAAAGAGACAAAACGCATTAATTAGATTAGAAATGTGCTTCCTCTCCTCTTGCGCAATAGAGTTGTTCACTTTCTCGGACTTTGGAAAGTTGCTTGGCTTTGATTCGTTACCCTACGAGCTTCATTTTATGGGCCCGTTTTGTAATATTTTTAAAATAATTTTATTTTTAGTATAAAAATAAAAATGAGATTGTTTTTAAAATTATTTTAAAATTAATTTTAAAATTACGTTTGATGGTCTTCAGGAGATTGGTGCGAGTACAATAAAAAAGTTAATTGAGAAATTTACTATTTAGTTTTTATTTAACAACTATTTACTAATTAATAGATTATAATGAACATAATATTTGATTGTTATATTAATTATTAATTATTTATTTAATAACCTATTATTACTTGTTTTATTTTATTGTTAATATGTTATATAATTAATATTTCACAATTATTCTTTAACTAAATAATTAATTACTATATTATTTATTATTTTATTAATAAAATTAAAAACTTACTAGCAATAAATTAATATTTAATTTGTAATTAAGTAATTATTATCTGTTTTTTAGTTATTAAGTATATCTACTTATTTATTATTAATTAATATATAATATAATTAATAATTAATAATTAATTATGTAATATAACATTGTTGGTAAGTACTAGAAAATGAAAACAGAAAAGAAAAAACGACTTTCAATCGTTTTCTACTTTCTTCACAAAAATCATTCTCATTGTTTTTTGTTTTTGTTTCCGTTTTCAAATTTTTTTTTAAATAAACGTAATTTGTAAACCATTTTCATTTTCGTGCCTCAAAAGATGTACATAAACATTTTAGAAAACAACTAAAACAATAATTCCAAATGCACTCTTTGTGTCTCGGTTTTTTCTAGGAACTTGCATATTTTTTTATTACAATTCTTTCCATGATTTTTTTTTTTGGTTACACTTCACTTTCTTTCAGCAACTGAGATGAAAGTGCAATTTTTAAGCTTGAAGTTTGTACTGAAAACTCAACAAGTCGGTTTATTGTTGATTAGAAAGATCCGAAAAACAAGAACAGTTGCTTGGAAACTTCTTGTTTAGAGTACCTCCAACAGGACTTGATGTTGCAAGAAATGGTCCATCTAAATATCTTACATTGCATTTAAGATTTGGAGTAGACATGGTTGCTTACACTCTTTGTGATTTTGGGGGTGGAGAGACTGAGAGAAAAGAACTTCAAGGCTGCAGAGAACATCATTTTCCTCTGCTCATGATTGACCTCTTGGAGAACTGATCAAAGTATGCATTGCATTTTATGTCTTGCATCAATGTCCTTTTCAATAAATTCATGAAAAAAATATTGTGGAAGAAGCTAAGCATTTACAGACAGTTAAGTGTTGGATCCTTAATTCAACGTTAGGCTTATATGTGAATAATTATATGTTGCGGACTGTCATATAAGGTTAAGCACGTCTAAAAGTGATCTGCTAAGGTTCGGGTAATTTGGGCTTTAATGTATATGATAAGGTGTGAGCTTTTAATGTGTAGAGAGTTAAGGGTTCTATTTTTATGATTGGTTAAAATAGAAATACTAAGAGATAACGGGAAAGTTATCTATATATAGCGATTATGGTCCCCAGATCACATGTTACATTTTATTCTTTATGGCATCTCATCATCAGAGGGAGCATAGAGAAAGTTAAGGAATTCTCTAGGAAAACCTGTTGATCTGGAAGACAAACCGCATGATTATAGAGAGTAATTGGTCGTCATAAATTCATATACGCTTCCGCTTATTGATTTATTAATTCTTGGTGATCCAACATGAATGTTCTTAAATTTTTTGGGTGATGGTGTTTACGAGAAGATATTTTCTATCACTAAGTTGTCAAGAGTGCATGTGCAAAATCCACTAACATGTTCTCAAAATGATTTTATTATTTTCAATTCTTCAACATATATCTCTCTTCGGCTATATCTATTAGTTGATTTTTTTGGGGTCCTATTTCCACTTTTGTTCATCTTTAGTCAATTAAGAAATTGTGAAATTGCAAGCTTAACCTGCATTTTAGGTAGGTTTGCGAGAGTAATATGGAAACAAAATTATAAAAGAGAACGTGAAAAATGTTAAGAATCCATTTAATAAATTATAAGCTCAAAATATATTGTATATTTAATAAAATTTCTCGGGATTTAAATATTTATATTTATATCGAGGAGAACTTTAGGATGAATACAGTTGCTTGCAAAATGTTTACGTTATAGTATAGTATGAAATATATATTGTTTCCGTAAAGATAAATGAAAAATATGGTGGGCCAGTCATGTAATTAGTATACCATTTTAAGGGGTATTCGTCAAGATTACTCATTTATAAGCCTTGCCCGCTAAAAAAGATGAATCCATATTTCTAGCAGGAGTAAGAGTACAGACCAAATTCAACTTAAATTCAAATCTCTCTTTCTATATCTCTTAGGCCGGATTTACTAATTAAGAATTCAATAGATAGGAGATAAATTTCTAAAGAAGGGGAATTTAATTCCTTAAAACTAAATCCCAAAATTATATTAATGTGTTCACTAACTTATCAGGAATTAAGTTAGAAAGTGGAATTGAATCGCTATTCTTTTCTTTACTAAACTAAGTAATTGCAATAAAAATATACGTAGTTACAAAAATATCCTCTAAAAGATAACTATAGTAATTTGTTATAATATAAACTAAAATTTAATAATAGGATATAAGAATAATATAATGTAATATAAATTGAGAGGTGTGATAAGTTCCCTTGCATCAGGAACTAAGTTCCTCATTTATAAATAGGGCCCACGTCATTTAATAAAAATAAACACATTTTAAATTGCTTAAAATAAAAGTAGCACACATGAATTTAAAATGGACAACTCAATTCCCTTTCTTAAATCTTATTGTTCTCGAATTCGACTTAAGTTTCCAACTTCAACTCCAACTCCAAGTCTCCAACTTCAACTCCAACTCCAAGTCTCCAACTTCAACTCCAACTCCAAGTCTCCAACTTCAACTCCAACTCCAAGTCTCCAACTTCAACTCCAACTCCAAGTCTCCAACTTCAACTCCAACTCCAAGTCTCCAACTTCAACTCCAACTCCAAGTCTCCAACTCGTAGCGTATAAATATAAACACAAGGCTCTCTCAAATCTCACCTCCGTGAAATGTTTGTGTAACTAAGCCGACTTTGTATTTGTGTCTCTCTCCTCCTTCTCTCTCTCTCTGAAAGTTAGGGCTTTGGTTGAATAGCCGTCGCATAAGAAATCTTCAACAAGGTTAGTTTGTTTATTACTTTTGAATTTCTTGCTTTAAGTACTGTTTGGTTGCCGAGAAAGAGAAACGAAGAAAAAAAGGGAAATTTTTATATGTATCTTATATTAATGCCATAGAATTTTTAGCTATTAAGGAAAGCAATTTTTTTCCTCACGTTTATTTTTGTTTCCGACTGTATGTTTGCTATGAAATCTTTAATTTTTTTAGTGCTGAAGTTCGTAGTACTGATTAAAAATTGTTGTTTACTGACAGTGAAAGAAGGGATTTGGAAGAATGGCACCGAGAAAGTCAAGAAGAGCAATCAAAAAACCTCCGCAGAAGCAGTTGAAGCTTGACACTGTCTTCAAATGTCCCTTCTGTTCTCATCCCAACAGTGTTGAATGCACCATGTAATTATAACATGCATAGAGATGTTTTATTATTATTATAATTATTATTATTATCATGTCCTTTTTTATATATGTTTATATTTTGCATGCAATTTTATACCTTTTTATTCATCAGTGACAGAAAAGAATGGATGGGGTCAGTTAGTTGCTGGTTTTGCCAGGCGGACTATTATACTACTATCACAGGTTGGTTTGTCTCCATCAAAGTGTTTTTAGCCGATATGATCACCTTATATATTTGACTCTTAAATAATCTTTTAAACTTCTTTTACTAATATGAATTTATTTTTGTCTTGTATTTGCATAGCTTTAACGGAGCCAATAGACATGTAAGTGTAACTCTTTGTTCTTTCTTTTTCTTTACCTCTATATATTTACCACACTCGTTTTACGAGGATGTTTATATATATGCAGATACCATGAATGGTTTGACGAGTGTGTACGAGTAAACAACAGTGGAGATGATGCCCCGCGCTCTGCATAGGAGAAAATCTTGATTTCTGGACAAGAAGTTGCATGGAAATTAAGCTAGAAACTTTCCTAGCCAGTTATTATGTTGGTGCCAACAGGAATGGAAGTAGTTTTTGAACACTTCTTCTAATATCTTACTTCTGCAGTTGTAAATTAGGAGACTGCAAATTGACAGTAGCAGTTTTCATTAATGTATATTTGATTATTTTTGGAAATAAATTTAATACCAATGTCTTATTTATACAGTCAAATTAATTGTAACTTAAAAGTAAATCTAATTTCCTAACATTTAAAATATATTAAGAGATAGAGGTGATCCTAAATAAATCCTAAAAGAAAAACAAAAAGTTTAAATTTAAAATGTTAAAATAAACTAAATATAAGTCCTATTTAAAATAAATCATATGCCCACACGATGTTTAAACTTCTTATATATATATAGACACACACACATACACACACTAGATCTTCAAAGGCAACAGTGACCCTATATCTTGTTTACAATCTAAGAGTATTTACTTCAAATGAATAGAAATCATATGGCCCACACGATGTAGCATATGAAAAAGTGGATGCAAATTCTAACTCTACTCATAATATTATTATTTTACTTAAAAAATGAATTTTAAATTTAATTATATAACCTTAACAAGTTCTGTTTAGTTAATGTTTTCTGGGAACAAGTTTTAAAAACTAAGATACAAAGAAAAGAAAATTCTGAAAACAACATTTTGTTGCTTTCAATGTTCTCTAGATACAATTTATAATAAGAAGCATTTTATTTTATGTATATAGTCACATATTATACACATATAAATACTCATTCTCTCTCATCACATCCTCTCCTCACTCTCTCTCTCCTTATTCTCTCTCCTCACTCTCTCTCTTCTAATTCTCTCATCACTTTCTCTCTACTCATTTTCTCTATTCACTCTCTCTCTCTCCCCATAATCTCTCAGCAATTTATCTTTCTCTCTCCTATTAGATTTTATTTTTTAGAATATATATATAGACACTAATTATATTCATTATTGACTACTGAAGTTTCAAAAATTACTATTTAATCCCTCATATTTTGAAAAATTATAATTTAACCCCTCAATTTTTTATTATCAGAAAACAATTGCCAAACACTATTTGTTCTCTAGGAATAAGTGAGAACAATTATTGTTCTTATTTCTGAAAACTCGATTTTGAGAATTAAAAAACAGAACATTGCTAAACATGCGCTAAGCTGTAGGGAGTGAATGTGTAAAATCTACTAACATGTTTCAAGATGACAACCATATTGATTCTTGTCAATTCTTCAACATATATTTCAATATATATATATATATATATATATATTATATTTGAAGGCAACCCCTTATTTAGCTATATACATTAGTTGCAATTTTTTTATCCTATTACCAACATCCTTCAATTTTTTATTCTATTATGACGTATGGAAACTATTAAACGAAATATATAATACTAAAGTGAATAACGCACACTCCAGGTGGATTGAGTGTGTATATTACAATACTAATTGCGATCCTTCAATTTTTTTCTGTTAATCTTCATCCTTCAATTTTTACGAGGAACAAAACTACTATTAAAACTGTTGTCATAATACAATACTAATTGCGATCAAACACCATAATCAAGATAAACAAAATCTCAGCAGAAGACCTGTATTGAATCAGAAAATCAAGAACAATACACACTCTTCCTCACCAGTTTTCTCTAGGAAATTATAGAAAGAAATGCTCCCTTGATCTCACCAGTCTCTCTCCCTAGGCAATAACTAAAACAGAAAAGTGAATCCTTCACTTTGATTCAATCTCTAACTACCTATATATTGACCATTACAAGAGGCTACTAGTAGTATCCTAATTGGACAGTGTATTAACAAATCATGAAACTAACAGCTAAAATACTAACTCGCCAGAGTATTCAATACACCACAACGACAATAAGACCTCTTTAAAACGACATTCAACTTCTTAACACTGACAACGTACAAAATTGGTTTCAACTTCTTAAAAGAGAATAGCTCAGAAGTTTTGTTTTTGTTTTTGTTTCTGGGTTGATCAAATTTTAAGCGTTGAATGTTATCTTGTTAAAGATTTTTGTGACTGAAAAAAAGTAGTATAAAACGAATGTTTGGGGGAGAGTATAAGCTTCGATCTACAGAACTGGGAATGACCCACCTATTGGAAGAAGAATGTTTGGGGGAGATTACTATTTGAATTCCAATAAGCCAGTGTTGTTTCATGGCTCCAAGAATGATTTTTCCGCAAAACATGGGACTTATTATAAGGGGAATTATGTTGGGAAAAAACATATTTGGCTCCGAAAGCACCTCAGGTCAATTGCTTTAATGTTTGTCTTCATGGGATTACTTTTCCTGCTTGATTCTCTCATGGTATTTATTTTTGATTCGGCGAATCTTCAGAGTAGTTTAACTCCAAGAAGATCAAGTGGGACTAAGGTAAAGTGGTGCATCTATGTGGTATGATATTAGTTGCAGGTGAATGTGATTTCTAAGTTGTTTTTGTTTATTCTTTGCAAGACATACTTTATATCTATTTCCTTTTGTTTTTCTTTTTCTAACTAGCTTGAGAATTCAGAGAGTTTTTTTTTTTCACTAGAATAGTATTGATTGACGATTAACTTGTGTGAATTTTATGCATTTTTCAAAAGGAAGAGGACAGAGTTGGCAACAAAGAGAATACAAAATCAGCAGTTCATATGTATGATCGGCTTCTGAACTTGGCTTCTAGTGCTCTGGCAGAGGTTTGTTTTGTTTCGTCATGACTTTCACATATCAGTAATTTATATTTGACTAAGCTTGTTGGCTAATGATTGAAATTGTTTTTTCCATGAAATTTGAATCTTTTTCTACATAGAAAGAGTTTAAACAAGAGTCTGCAAGCTTCTGGGAAGAGCCATATAAGCAGGTGTCTGCGTGGAGACCTTGTGCAGATAAAAAACTTCCTACGAGTCTTGGTATCTGATCTTTCATGGCCTTTTTTTGTTGCACTACAAATTTTTATAGTAATCCATTTCTTTGTAATTGAATCAATTTAGTTTTATATTGTATTAACAGGGCGATATGATGAAAATAATGGCTACATATTAGTTTTATATTGTTTCAGGTAAATACATGGGATATTGAACATATTGTACTTGAAACAAGATAATGAAAACATATCTTAGTAGTTTCGTTTTTGTAGGTTTTTTTTTTTTTAATATAATTCTAAGTTTAATATGTAACCATTTCTGCGTAAAATAAGAGCCTAACTTTCTTTGTAAATGATTTTATTGTGATGATTTTCTTATTCTACTATGTTGTTCCACTAAGATATGTGATGATATTGCAACTGCTTGCAGATATGCAATGCTGTTGCCGTGGCATCGCTTTTAAATGCAACTCTTGTTCTTCCAAGGTTTCTTTACAGCAATGTATGGAAAGATCCCAGGTTAGAGATCAAATCTAAATTTCCTATACCTTTAATTAATCTACTTTGTCAGTTTTTGCAACTTTCTGGAAGAAGCTGCTTTGTTAGTAATTATGACATATGGCACATAAACTTGATATACTCACATCATTCAATACCTGAAAATTTTGTTTATCATTTTCTTTTTAGATGCCATCTACACGTGCGAGAATTTAATTCTTTTTTTAATTCGGTGTAATGAAATTATACTTGAAATCTTGCAAATATGAAAATGTCGAGCTTTACATTAATGAATGTGCAGCCAATTTGGTGATATTTACCAAGAGAAGCATTTTATGAAGATCATGAAGGATGAAGTAGATATTGTAAAGGACCTACCGCCTGATTTGAAATCAATTGACATTGAAGATATTGGTAGTCTTGTAAGTCATTTTATTGATCTATATGTTGCTTCATATGAATTAAGTACTAACCAGTTTTAGCTTGAAAACAATTTTTACAAACCTTTTATGTTCCTCTTTCCAGATAACTGATGCAGATCTTGATTCAATTTTTACATTTAAGATTTGAAGTTGACATGGTTGCTTACTCTCTATGTGAGTTTG